ACCATTGTGGATCATCTACACACATGACCTCAAAGCAAGCACCACAGTAAGCCCATTGTTGAATAGTGCTGTGCTCAGAGCTGTTTGTCTCCAAGCCATAGCCTTGTTGGAAGAGATTACCGTATCCACAAGCCCCCTCTGTTCAATAACAATCACAATAAGTTAATTAAAACTCGATCGTATCTCATTTTACATATCGAATACTTGATTATATACACCTCTCATATATGTACTCACTACATGTGCTACCATTGTGAGGGAGAGGGTTATGGATGGAATTATATTCTATGGTTTCTGCTCCTCCCATGTCACCGTTGCGTGTGCATTGTCCCAGTCATGTCTGCGGCGTTTGCACCAATGGTGATTTTCTTGCCCATGGCTTGAGCCAAAAGAGTGATCACGGACACTGCCCATGTAAACAAGTTTCTGAAACTTAGCCATGGCTATATGACAGTGAGAGAAACTTGAATTCTATTGTATTTTCTACACACCCACACACACATTTATATACAGAGATGTATATAGTCGTCATCATGAATTATCCTTTCCACGTGTAATTAGATTGGGTGTGTGTTGGTTGGTAAATCAAAACATGCAAGCAAGGTCCAATAAAGGTCTTTGGAATCATCCTAAAACCATATTCATATTATGGCAGTAACATATTAAATACACAATTAATGTTAAACTTGGTTGGTAATGCCTTATATCCAGTGCTGAAGTGATGCCAAATTTAAAATGAATCACATTTAAGGTCCATGTCCATAATCAGCAAAATCTGAGGTGGATATCATATGGTGGTAATTTGTACCAAGTATAAGTAGGGGAGATCTGTTTTCTTTCCTTTTTCCTATTAATCTAATTGTGTTTAAACCGAATAAGTTTTATTCAATAAACAGTGTTGCTCATAGGTTGGTACGTTTTGCTCCTATATTGCTCATGATTTTTTTTTTAGTACAAGCGATAGTCTAAACTACAGGAGAGGAAGATTTCTCTCAAACACACACAACAAGATGTCATGGGATTCGAACCTGAGACCTTTGGTTCGCAAGTCTAGGTTCTTTTCCACTGGGTTAGACCTCGTTGGCCCTTTTCTTATACTCTCTTAACCTTTGGTTCGCAAGTCTAGGTCTTAATATTGTTTGATTCGAGGAACCTCATAATTTAACTCAGGATCTTTATTTCAGGATTGTATGGTTTCTTAAGTTTTCAAAGGTTCAATAAGTGAAAAAACTGATTAATTTAGGATCTTTTATTTTAGAACTGTAATTTGTATGGGTTCCTTAAGTTTGTTCAATAAAAATATATTTTCAAAAGTTCAATAAATGAAAAATCTGAATAAATCTAATAATTAGTTGGATGAGAAAAAAATCCTTTAGAAATCAAACATGCTCCTCTAAAAAAAGGATTAAACATGCTCACAATTAACAATTATAATCTTTAACAAATGATGAAGAACTACACATCAACTCATCTTCTTGATCGAACAATGAATTACTACTCACGAAGACTAAGGCTTCATTTGATTGAAATTGACAACGAAGCTATACACATTTGCTACATATAAAAAACTAGAAAACATTGTATTCAATATGTATTCGAAATAACTAAAAATGTAATACATTTGGAATGGATTTGGAATGACTATATGTTAGGAGTCATTTGAAATCCATTTGTTCTTTTCATTTTATTTTTATTCTAAAGTATGGTATATACGAACTATAATCTTACAATGTAGTATTGTAATGTCGTATTCAATTTGGAGCCATTCCGTCCAAATATACCGTAATAGTGATTTCCTTGTTCAAAATGTATATGAGATTATGAAAATGGGGCTTTAACCTTTCAAAAAGTTAGCCAATACACCCACAAAAGGTGCATTGATATATGTGGTTGGCTCCGATTGTTGAACATTGGATCGAGAATCTTCAAATGTATCATCCTCGGCAGGCCCTCCCACAATTGCACCTACTAATATGTTAGGGTTTGGATCGGTGCTTTTGAAATACAAGTCTCCTTCATGGCACTGCATTTGTTGTAGGTGGTTTTCCATGGAAGGATTGACTGAGCCACGGTGATGTATTTTCTGAGGAAACTTTTTCCCATATCCCACCATATATGACATCCCTAGTGGGTTGCTTCCTAGTATATAATCAACCTGCATTAATATTACCAATTAAATGTCAGCCAACAATAAAAATGAATCAATATTTGTACGTATGCTTCTTTTCGAAAATATGTTTTTAGACTGTAAATCTGAATAACACATTTCACGTTATGTACCTGTCCTTTGGTGAAATTCACTAGGCTAGCTGGAGTGACAACGAAATTATTGCCACAATCGATCACTTTGTTGGAAGCTTTCATGTAGCCAGCATAAGCCATAAGAAGAAATGATAGGGATGTTGAATGTTGCAGGTTACTTCCTCCAGGCTTGAACAAGAGTCCACTAATATCAAAATCCAAAAACAAGAAGAGAAGATTATGTTACTTCTTATACAAGTTTTGAATATTGTACGATTTTTAATTCGCATTAATTTGGAAAAATAACATGACATATGGTATTCTAGCTAGCTTCAGTAGGTCTGTTTTAGGCAACTACCTGGTGAATAGGTGACTGATTTTGAGCAGGTGATTGGGCAAAATAGAGCAGACAAGCTGGTCCGCTTGGGAATAAAGGGATTAGCATTGTTGGGATCAGTCATTACCCACTGCAAAAATAATGAATTAAAGAAGAAAATTAAGCTAGGTTCAACTATGTACAAATATAAGGTTCACTATCTATATATCAAAACATAAGAGATCAAGAAAATAATGTTCTAGATTGAAAACTCTAAGAACACTTATGTCAGTTTCCTATGCACATGTGGGCCGAAAAAGAATTATGATTCGGGCCATCTAACACACACAGACGACTGACATTAACACTGCTCTTGAAAACTCACCTGAGAAACAAGTATGTTGATGCCGGCATGTTTTGAATCCCATCCAAATTCATGACATCACCATTAAGGACGCAACAAGAATGCCATTTATATTTCTTACTACTGTGGGTCCCAAACTGTATGTTGTTTTTGACATAGTCCCAATATTGTGGTATCTTAGTAGCCTTGTATAACCACGCAGCTCCCCAAAGCAGTTCATCCTGCAAACAAGTAATTACTTGTGTATCAAAATTCTGTTCTAGTTATTTTAATACAGCACAATATGAAAAATTAGACCAGTATTAAAATTTGGAAAACAAATAATTAGGATCACATAAGTGTACCTTGTAGCCACTGAAATCACAGTAAAAGGGCAAGCTCCCTCACCAATACTGTCATTGTAAGACCCCCTATACTTATCTGCGAATTCAAACACCTAATATCCATACATGGAAAAAATTATTAGTCCCAAAGTTTAAATTTCAATATATATACATAGAAAAAAAGGAAACTTAAGAAACTTAATGATTCGCTGATGCTCATGTTAGATTGTGAACATGAACCATTGATTAGATTGACTCTTGTCTGAATGTGCGGTACAGATTCAGTGCATAACATAAGTCTGTAAGAGAAGAGAACATTGCATACCTGGATAGATCGGTTAAGCAGCGAAGCTGAGTAGAATTTGTCTGAATCTTTAAACACCATGGAAGAAGCTGCAAGTGCAGCTGCAGTCTCAGCTGCAACCTCTGATCCTGGCTTTTCTTTGTTGACAACATAAGTGGTTCGAGGGGTGGTCATGTCTTCAGGCCTTTCCCAACAAGTGTGGTCGCCATTGGGGTCACCAACCACACCAACAACAGAATCAGGAACACTTGTGGATTTAAGCAAATAATCAGACCCCCATCTGATGGCTTCCAGAGCATGTGGAAGTTCCGAGCCCATCAATTGTCCAAATTCTAGAACACTCCATGACAACATTGTTGTTGTGAAGGCCATGGGAAAGTTGAACTTCACATTGTCCCCCGCATCATAGTAACCTCCTACAAGATCCATCTGAGAGGGTGGAACAAGAGCATGTCATGCATTTAGGTCCACGTTGGCTAAATTAGGGTTTGACATGTGTGGAGAAACTTTGTATTTAATATTTTATTAATGAGTAATTTTGTATATGATTTGAAAGTAATCTGTTCCTGTAATTTTTAGGTGTAACTGGTTGTATACAATTATGTGTCTATCTCTCTCGTGACATGGTTAGTCACGTGATGAGAGAGACAGAGACATAGTTGTATGCAACAGTTGATAATTAAGGAAGTTTTTCTCGACAATGTTCTTAAGAGAGAGAGAGAGAGAGAGAGAGAGAGACTTACACCAACATCAGAGCCATCCTTTAGACCAGAATCTTTCCTCCAAGTAATTCGTTGTGAAGGTGGTAACTTGCCTGACCTTTGGCCTTCAAAAAACATAAGGCACTTTGACAAAGCATCAGCGTAGTTATGCGAACCAGAGTTTTGTGCTGCGGCCATTGTCGACATCCAAGCTAATATTAACACCCCTGAAAGGTAACTAGTACACATGATTTTACTCATATTTTCTTTTCCTCACAACCCACTTTTATGTATCAAAATTGAAGAGTATTTCTAGCACTGGAGTATCAAGAAGAAAGCTAAAAACTTAGATATATTCTATACCCCTTGAACAATTTGGAGAACAGCCCACTGAATCGATCAAAAGCAACTCAGTAAGCAGCTGTTTATATACCATGGATCCCTAATTCAACAAGGAAATTTTATTAGTAAAAAGGAAATACAATTTACGAAAGGAAACCAGGAAAAATCTTCCTACGCTCATATGGAAACTTATTTTGGGAAAGTATTGTCCAAAGGGACACGGAAGAAACGCACTGTTATAGAAATTCAAATCTTGTACAATTTTTTTGTTGTTGCCAAAATGTACAATTAATTCATCTTCAATAGTTTCTTCTTAACTTATTTTGTTATGATTTATTCTAGATTTTTGTGATTGTCAACCTTTTTTCTCTTGAGAAACCTGATAGTACGAGGGAAATTTATTAACCAACAATAGAAAAACAGGAGCTTAAAACTTGAACCTGATTACACTATTTTTGTTAGTCAACCCAAGTAGTTGCCTTTCTAGAAAATAAATTATTTAGGGTTTTTAATCACATTGATATTCTTATTCGAATGTGTAAATTAGAATGACATTTTCCAACAAAAAAAATAAAAATAAAATAGAATGGCATTCGCGGACAACTTTTGACGTGAGTTAACAAATTAAGGAGATTTATTTCTTAAGTTAATTAGGTGATTTATTTACTTTTTTTTATATATATAGTTGACAATCCTTGTATAATTAGGAGATATTCTCCTAATTAATTCCTGCATCTATTTACTTGTAAACCCCTATATATTCCTCCTTTCGGAGAAGAATATTACAATTAACATAAAGTATTCAAACCGTGTTCATATTTTAGCATGGTATCAGGGGAGCATTTTTGCTCACCCACTGTAACCCAATGTGTATGCTCACCATTTTAACCCAAGGTGTATGTTCATCACCCTTCTCAACATTTAACACGTGTCCATAAGCATAACCATGGTTACATAAATCAATGTAAAAAAACTATAGTTATGCTTATGGACACGTATCAAGTATTAAGAAAGGTGGTGAGTATACACCTTAGGTTAAAGTGGTAAGCAAAAATATTTCTTGGAATTAGAGCGGCCGATTCTAGGTCGTCTCTAAGCTTTCCCTTCAATCCTCATACCCTCACATCAAACACAAACCCTAAACAAATTCCTCAAATTCTCAAATCAAAACCCTTTATCAAGTCCCTAACTCTAAACCCTTTTCCACAATTCCTAAACACAAACTCATATCCAATCTTATTTTTGCTGCGATGTCAGGCCTCATTGTGATTCTCTCCCTCCTTGAAGACTCAACTAAGCCTGCGGTCAATCCTGCTGAAAGGACTACACTGGCTTGTGCTTCCATAATTTTTTTTTTCCATATGCAAACATCATTTCTTTTTTATATCAGCTAAGTAAATAGATATTTAAAAGTATAAATAAAAAGGGGCTTTACCATATAAGGATAAATAGGAGGGTACCAAGATAAAATAGTCTAGTCCCTCAAAAATCGGACAAACCTGTCCAGTCACTATCCAACAGTGACATGAAATAACTCTTATGTTTGAGAGTTGCATTGAACAACTCTCAGGTCCATGTCCGACAATGACATAAGAGTTATTTCATGTCACTGTCAGACAATGACTGGACCAATTTGTCCAATTTTAGAGGGGCTCAACCATTTTAACATTTATCTTGTGCGAAGGACTTTTGTATCAATTTATGATTAAAAAAACTAAACTGAAAAGAAAACAAAAAAAAGGATGTGGGTGGAGTGGAGTGGGGGAGTAACTTCCTCTATATAGTTACTTAAGTGATTTATTTTTTTTTTTTTTTTTGATGACATTAATATTTTTTACCATTTTATCCCTATTTATTAATTTACAATCCTTTAGCACTTTGGTTAATTAAGGATATTTTTTAGATTTTTGAATGTTTTACCATTCTTTGCATTTTGCGCGATATATGTAGATTGTGAACCAGTATCTATTGAAATCATAACTTGGTCTCAATATTTAATAAGTTTCTGTTTCTTGAAAAGATTGATATCGTTAAATTAGTTCATGCATGACACACAGCAAATATGCTTTTCTTCCTGAATTGAACAGATCAGGTGAGCAACTGCTAGATTCAGCAATCATCACCAAATTATAAAAAAGCCTGCAAAAGGACTAACTGAAATGAACCCAACCTTCCAAAGCATACATACCCTCTTTACTGGATATTGTTGTTGTAGAAAATTAAGCTTTTCCTATAGTACGGTTCATTTTTTTCTACTTGAAGTTCATTTGTTCGTGGGTTAAATCCATTGACTAGGTTTCGACTGAGTAAAGTTTTCATAACTTGCTAGATGAGCCAGATTTTGGATTTTCTCTTCCTAAATTACATATGTTATACTTGGGACTTTATTTTTCAACCGATTTGGTGAAATTTTATTTTTTTCCAAACTGCTGGCATTTGATGTTTATTATTTCTGATTTGTTTACAATTCATTTGGTTTCTTCCTCTTTAGGCGTGAGTTTCTTCTTCTTGTGCATGGGATTTATCTTCTCCTCTCTCTCTCTCTCTCTCTCTCTCTCTCTCTTTGGTATATATCTCCACATGACAAGTCACTTACCATACTTTTGGTGAGTCATAAGGAGGTTTTTTTGTGTGTAAAAAATAAGGAGATTTTTTTGTTGTTGAGAAATTCTGGATTTGAATTCATAATTTAGCCAAAAAAGCCACTAGACACAGATGACCAACTACCAAGACACACTATCTACAAGCCATTACAATAACGAAGTGATCTAACATCAAAATTAAGAAAATTTGGTGTGCCTCCACTAACGATCACGCAGGATCAAAGAAACTCTAGTATAGGCATCCTAACTAAGATTGCAAACTCAGAATAATAAAAAAGGGATAAAGCTTGAAAAACCCAAGCTATAATCCCACAAAGGAGAGATGAAAATCTCTCACAAAGGAGAGGTGAAAAGCTCTCACAAAAGAAGAGGTGAAAACTACACAGAGAAACCAAAGAGTCTCTGCAACTTATTCTAAATATAAAGAAACAGCAAAAAAGATGGTGGTGGAGATCAGACGCCGAAACGTAGGTGGAGATTCGATGTCAAGATGCAGTCACCTATGATGGTTAAAGGAAAATCATAACAAAACGAAGACAAATAGGGGAAACCTTCTGTCTTTGATAAAGGAGGAAGAGGAAGAAAAGAGGGGAAAAGGGAGGAAGAACAGTGACTTCCTCCTCAAAGTGAAAACGGCTATAGGAGTGTTTTTTGAGAGAGAGGGGGTAGGGTTTCTCTCAACGACAATGAAGGCTCGTTTGTTTAAAATAACGAGGTATGCAATTGTTTTCTTTTTCCCTACATATAAAGAAAATCTTATACCACGATTTGTATGAAATTGAACAATATGGAGCCACTTAATAGGATTTCAATTTGATAATTGATTGGATGATTTGAATTAAAAGGGATTTGGAGTTTTTATTTTATTTTAGTACAAGTGAGTTTGGAAGTTTCGAACCTTTGCCCTCCTATTAATGTAGGTGGAAAAGCTCAACCAACTGAGCTATATTCATTGACAAGGAATTTGGAGTATTGATTCATATATATCCGCATGATTATTAACCAAATCCATAAAATGATGCAAGTCAGCTATAAATCAATTAAGCAAAAATGTGGGTTATAGGCCAATTGATCAAAAGTAATATACGTGTTTCCTTACATCCTAGTTCAATCCCCCTCTCATACAATAGAGTAATCCTTAATATTTTGGTCAGAATATTTTTTGCTGGACATAATGCACACGTCCATATAGTCCCACTATCTTTTGTTTTTTTTTGTTTAATCTTTATATAATATGTAAGTTAATTAATGCTTTTGAAATTTCTGATATGCGAGTAGTACAGCGAGAATTAATTAAATTTCTGGGTTTGCTAACTTTTCTAATGTCTATTAGGAAAGAATCTGTTTGGGACTCCTTCAGCACTTATGTTTATAAGTGTTTTTTTTAAGAACTTCTTCTAATAGAAGAATGTCAAAAAATTTAATAAAAATTAAATTGCTTTCTGAAAAAGCACTTAGAAGTAATTCTTAAAGAAGCACTAGTAGGTTTTATGACAAATGAGTGATTTCCTATCCAATTATTTAAAATAATAATAATAATAATAATAATAATAAATTTAAAAAAAAACACACACACACACACACTGATACTCTACCATCAACCCGAGAAATTATACAATAATACGGTAGTACCACGTGGCAATTGACACCTGGTACTACGTTCCACTAAACTTGTGACATGTGGATGTAATAAATTTCTCTCTAACGATGTTTGCCTTCTCCAAACCTCCGTTTCTTTGTTATTCTTCCAAGAGACTGAACTCAAGTTTGAAGGCGCCGACTTTGACCGCGAAAAAAAAAGTTTGAAGGTGCCTACCAGAAAAGAGACTAATAATAAGAAGAAGAAAATGAAAATGAAAAATCTGTGTAAAGCTCCGATGCAAAACAATGGAGTTACATGATGCAAGAAGCCAAGATTATTTCTTTTAGCGGTTGATTTATTTGAAGCAAACTCTCACTGAAAATTGCCAAAATTTATGGATTTTTTTATATATTTTTTCTTCAAGAGAAGGTGTTTTTCAACCCATAATTTTTATTTTATTTTAGAAATCAACCACGATCAACGCATGATCTTTGATGGGTCTTTGTTGAATAATGAATTTTCTTGAAATGATAGTGTGATAGACCAACAAAGATTGTGGGTAATGGATTTGTCGGGCAAAGTTCTTCAATTTCTTCATAGATCTCGAATTAATGGGCCTCTTGGAAATTTTGGTACTCTCTCATAATCTTTGACAAGTAATGGGTGCTCTAAACTGAATCTGCACATGCGATGTGTTCATGGGTAAACTGCCGACTGAAATTTGGAATAGTTTTAAGTTTTCAGAAAACGAGATCTGAGGACAGAAAGAGAGAAGAAAGAGACGGAGGTTTTGGAGAAACAAACGTCGTTAGAGAGAAATTTATTACATCCACATGTCACAAGTTTAGTGGAACGTAGTACCAGGTGTCAATTGCCAGATGGTACTACCGTACTATTGTATAATTTCTCCATCAACCCCAATCTACCCTAGAAACCCTCTGTCTAATACCGGGAAGAAGATGGGTTTTTGAAGATCTCAGGTGCAGGCAATGTCTATTTCAAAAATATCTCTCACACATCTTGCACTAATTTCTCTCTATCCTCTTTAGCAAAGATCAATTATATGACTTTTTGAGAGCTTATAATCATTTGGTAGAACAAGTTATTGAGAAATAAATCTAGAGCAGTGACCAGCAACCAAGCTTTAATAGCTGACCACAACTCTCAATGATTTCCAATTCAAATAACAAAATCATATATCAATAAATTCTAATCCATGAAGAACATATATCAATTTCATCAAAAATACAAATTCTACCAACTTTGGGAATCAATTAAATTAAAGAGGGGGGTTTGGGTTGCTGCCAGGTCATTTATAAAAAATTAAATAAATAAATAAAAAGCCCCTGGCCAAAACAACGTCGTTTTGGCGAGGCAGTTTTGATAAAAATAAGGCCCAGCTGCTGTGCGCGCAGGCCTTTCTGGCCTTTCGTCGAGCACCTTGTGTTCATTTGGGGTCGCCGAGCTGCTCGCCATGGGTTCGTCTCAGACTTCCACAGGCTGTCCACAGCCACATTTTCGGCCATCTCATGGGGTCATGCCACCCCTCTTATCCCTTAATCCGTCCACCACATGATACGACAAATCAAACAAGAAGGACGACCATGACACACCGACTCAATTTGTTTCAACAACAGAAACAAACTTATTTAGTACAACTACAAGCACACCTTTATTTTGAACACGACATCAGCATCATCATATCATGCAAGAGACATAAAAATGAAACAACGTACGACCACACAACACAGCCAATATAATGCCATAATTGCATGCTTCAGAAACTGATTTTACAGTTGGCATTCGAAATAGCAGAAACAGGCTCGTCCTGGAAAGTCTACATGGCAAGCGCCATCCTTTGCTTCCTCCCAATCCTTACATTGTTTGTCACAGTGGCTCCCGTTTCCACACCACCCGACCATGTTTTGCTACGCTCTTCGCACACTTTTGCTTCCACCATTTGTACCTCTGCACAATCAACAACAAATTGTCATAATAATAATAATAAAATATGTTTTTTTGAGTATATAATCTTTTTCACATGAATATAATTAATAATCAAATAATATTAGTAAATATTTAACGGAAACGATCTCTCAGGAAACTATTTAGCAACATAAGATACTACTGTCAGGAGATTTGTGAATTTGGACCATTGATTAGGTTAATTCTTGTCTTCGCATCATCGCATGGTCTAGATTTACAGACTGACAACATAACATATGCAAGGTATGATAAGTTAGGCAAGAGAACTTAATGTGATTAAGGACAAACCGTGAGAGGAAAGGAGGAGAAAGTAAAGGCAGAGGAGAGCAACAAAGGTGGCGAAGTTAGGTAAGGACTTGGCCATACTTCGTGATATGATACTGATTTGAGTGCGAGAGAAGAGCAAGGATGGGTTTCAATTATAACAGGTGAAAATGGCTACTGTAATGTGCATAGTGGGTAGGTGGATAAATTATAGTGAAATGGAGTACTTATCTATCGAATATCATCAGAAGTCTTTTTAGCTTTAAAATAAAATAACCAAATGATGATATGAGAGATTATCATGTTTTGATATCTAGTGATACCCTATTCGATGTTCACAAGAACATCTGCGCGCGGTTCAAACCCCAGGCCATGCTCCAAATAAACACAAGGCCTCAAGAACAAAACATAGAAAATGAGACTCAATCTTTTTACTGCAAATTTATATATAAGCTGTTTTCTTTCACTCATATAACTATTTGATTTAGTTCATCAACCCAAATAATGAATATAAAAAAATGAAGATATCTACTTACTCATTCCAACACTTTCTTTAAGAGGAAGGAATTAATAAAAGTTTGTCTATGTATCAATGAATCACACGTAGAGATATTGATAACACACACAAAGTTAATGGTATTTCATAACTAATCGATGGAGCAGCAGCTCTAATAAAAAAATGAATGACGATATACACCACCCTCAAACAAACGATGGTATAAATTAGGAGTGGGCTTGATTTGGTTTGATTTGGTATTGAGCCAAAATGGCACACCGAACCGAAAGGCTCGGTGGAGGTATTTCCGGAATAGACATTGAACCACCACCATCAAACACCGAAGTCCTAAAAATTAGATCTGCGAAATCAGTAGGCTCTTCGAAACATACATAATTAGTAGAATCAGATTGGGGCCTTATATTAGGTTCATCATATGGACATTTTCTAAGAATGTTTCAACACTAACTAGTTCTTAGTCTAGTTGTAGCACTTCTACCCATTTGCCATGGCAAAAGGCAAGGGGAGTTACTATTCAAGTGAATAATGCCTGCCCTAGTAATTTTTTGATGCATTCCCACCCATTGCCATGGCAACCCAAGGGAAACCACTATTCACATGAGATATGAGGAGAGGAATTTGTATGCATTTTAGGGTGGGAAGTGAAAAACATGGCTAAGTATTTATAGAAGAAAAAAAAATTATGAATTTCTTTTTTTTTTTTTTTTTTTTTTTTTTTTTTTTTTTTTTTTATTTAATTGACCGCTGACATCATGATGACATCAGCATGACGTTAGCTTGCCTAGTTTCATAGGGCCACTTCTTGCCATAACAATTTTTCCTTGATGGAGGTTGTTTTTGGAGCCTAGGCGATAAAAAGGGATGGGTGGAAGTTCTCTAACTAGTTCTTAGTCTAGTTGTAGTTATTTTTCTTATTTTAGAATATGTTTCAAGTTCAAAACTCTCACTTCATTAATTAAATTTTTGAAATAATTGTGTTTGGACCAACTGTAAAGACATTTTTTGTGTTTTGTTATTTTTATTTATTTATAGTTTTAGTAGGCAATTTTTTATTTTATATACAAACGATATTCTATTTCAATGTAATCTAAACTACTGGGAGGGGGATTCGAACTCACGTGCATAGTGGGAAATACATCCGCTCTAGTCAATTTGATTAAGGGCCAGTTTGACATTGTTATGCTGTAAAAATAATCACTGTTAGATTTTCTGTGAAAGAAATCGGCTATGAAATAAAGCAATTTGGGGTTTGGTAAAATTTTTGTTAGAAGTGCGGTTGGTAAAAAAAAGGGTTATTTTTGGAATTTTGAAAGTTTCATTAAACCCAGTGCCTCTTTAAAACTGATTCCTGGATAATCAAAAAATGAAAGCAGCTCATCACCTACTTTCCTTCATTGCTTCTCTTATAGCAATTATTCAAAATAAGTGATTTTATTATGTTTTACCAAACAGGTTGGGCTTTCAAAATTTTCAAAATAATCACTTATAGCTCCAAATAAGCAATGTCAAACGAGCACTAAGCCGATGTTTGTAGTAGGCAATTCTTGAGTGTATATAAATGACCGACTATTATAATGTCTCAAGGCCCTTTTCTCGGCTACACCCTATTAGAGATCAATTATCACTTAGTTCTGTCAATTTTTATAATACATTATAAGTAACCTAAATTGATGGAATTAAGTGGTTAGATTATGAAAATCAAATTAACAGCCATTATAATTTGAAAATATTGTAAATATAGAACAGATCGAATGCTTATGTTATTATTAATAATCATAAACACAAGAGACACACTCATGATAGAACAAATCAAACAAGAAGGACGACCATGACACCGATCATAAACACAAGAGAGACACACATGATACGACAAATCAAACAAGAAGGACGACCATGACATGAATGATGAATCAGTTTGTTTCAACAGAAACAAACTTATTTAGTACAAGCACACCTTCATTTGAACACGACATCATATGATGATATGCAAACTATGAGACTTCATGACACACAGCCAACATAGTGCCATAATTGCATGCTTCAGAAACTGATTTTACAATGAGCATTCGAAATAGCAGAAACAGGCTTCTCTAGAAACTCTCCATGGCAAGCACCATGCTCTACACGCTCCCAATCCTTGCATTGTTTGTTACAGTGGCTCGTTTTTGCACACCATCCTGTCCAGGTTTTGCTACGCCTTTCGCATAGTTTTGCTTCCACCATTTGTACACCTGCAAACAATCAACAAAATGTAATGAAAAAGAAGATGTTGCCAATATTAATCCTATTTAATAACAATTGTTTGATTATAATCTTTTTCTCATGATCAACTACTATTAGTAAATATTTTTAAAGGAAATGATCTTTTGGGATGCTTAGCAACATAAGATACCATTGTCAAGAGAACTACGAATCTGGATCATCGATTAGGTTGACTCTTGTCTTCGCGCAACCAGATGTACGGACAATGTACGTAAACATATGTACGACATGATACGTTAGGCAAGAGAACTTAATCTGATTAAGGATTTACCGTGAGAGGAAAGGAGGAGAAAGAAAAGGCAGAGGAGAGCACCAAAGGTGGCGGAGTTAGAAAGGGACTTGGCCATACTTTGTGACATAGTAGTGGCTAGCTAGGTGTAATTTGTTCAAAAGGATGATATAAAGCAACCAAAAGACCAAAGTGGAGAATAAATTACAAATGAAATGGAGTACTTATCTGCCAATATCATCAGAAGTCTTATTAGCTTCAAAATAAATTAATCAAAATGATCATATGAGAGATTATCATGTGTTGATATCTATAGTTATACCCTATTCATCTGCTGTTCAAACGCCAGGCCATGCTCCTAATATACACAAATCTTTACAATATTAGACATTTTTGTTTTGTTTTGTTTTGTTTTAGTAGGCAATTATTGAGTGTATATAAATCATCCACTATTATAATGTCTGAAGGATTTAAATGTGGAATAGAGTTTGGGGTGTGCTTGGATTATGCGGCGGGTTGAACGGATTTGAGTTAAGGCCAATGCCACTTGACTTGACTAGATAGATGGATATCAAGAAAAAGTTAAAAAGCAATCCAATTCGATTGAATTTCGGATTGAGTTGCTCTGGTTGTCGGGTTGGACCTAAACCCAAAGTGTATTCTTCTAAATTGTATTTGTTGTAAAGTTTTTAGGCGGGCTATAAATTGGCTCGATGCAATGATTAGTCCGTAAATTTATACAGTTATGTATTTTTAAGGAAAATTGGATTTAAACTTATTACTTTATTTTCTCAATTTTCAGCTTTCCAAAGCAATTAATTGGTTTTGAACGGAAATACGACTTTTTGGTGGAATTTTTGTACAAGATATACTAGTTGGAGATGAAAACGAAGATCTTGAAGATGATTGTGGAATTTTTCTAGAATTTTCGGAGCAACCAATGAAAGCAGTCTTTGAAGTTAAATCAGCATAAGGTGCAATCTTGTCAAAACTGTGTAGCAGTGGAAGAATGATTATTTGAAGACTTTCCTGATTTTACTAAAGGCGTGCGATATATGGCTGGAAAGATAAGACAAAGATATAAAATTTACATATTATTCATGTCTTATCTTGAAGGAGGAATGACCCTAAACGTGCGTACAAAGAAACTGATCTGTTTTCCCAGTCAAAGAAGGATTTTGAGTCAAGACTTTCCTAGTTTTATGTCTTTACCTATTATTTAGGGATTGGGATGTCCTAGGTTTTTTGTTTTGTTTTTTTTTAAAATAGAACTTTTAGGACCCTAGGATGTGATATAAGGAAGTGGAAAATTTCAAATAAGGGGTTAAACTTTGAGGAGAAGAAAATCAACCCTAAAGTGCAATATCTTCAGTTTTTGTGGGTTCTATTCTTTTTCCATGTCTTTTTTTTATGTTACGCATAACGAAGTGTAACTAAACACTTTCTTGCTAGGGCGTGATGATACCCTAATATGATTATCTAGTTTTCTTATTCTAATTTCTTTTTCGTGGCTCTATTGAATTGGATTTTAATCACTGTTTTATCCTTGATTGATTGCTTGGATGCTTAGCTACCATCTAGGTTTTTGATTGAGTTATTTGATGCAAACTTGCGTAAATACCATACGGAGTTTGAGACCAACTTCTCGTGATTAAAAATTGTGATTCGCTTAGGGTAAATATCATATTCCTGGGGAGTTGCATGGCTTATATTGGATTCCATTAGACTTAATGAATTCTTGCATAATCATATTTGACTAAATACCATAGTCGAATTGCATGTTTAGGGTATGTGAGTTAGCCTAAGTACTATAGATAATTCACACTAAAGGGAATTAATCAACAATATAATTTGAGTAACAAAGGAAGGGAATAAGAGATTAGAGAAGAGTACTAGGAGTGGATTCATTGTCCTAGTGCCGTCATATCTTGCCGAAAACTAGTTCTACTGTCCTTTGTTTGTGTGTTTAATTAATTGTTTTCTTATTTGCCTTTAAATCAATTATTCAAAAAGCCCATTTAGGTTTATGTGCATAAGTTATATGTTTAAATTCCATTTTAATTTATCTAAGTGTTTGTTAAGTTAAATTAGGTTCAATTGCTTCAAAGTTAAGAAATCAGTCCTTTTGAGAATGACCTCGTGCTTGCCTTGCGAAATGATTGACCTTGTGCACTTGCGAGTATAATTTGTGTTTAAATTAACCTCTATTTTGCAGGTATATAAAATTCACAACATGCAGGTCGAGTTTGGATTGGTTTTGTCTCATTTGAGCTCGGCTCATGATAGAAACAAGTCAAGGTGAAAGTGAAGCAAATGACGTTTTTCAATTTTAATTAGTCAAATGCGTCAGGAATTAAAATGGATATAAATCAGGTCCTTTGAGAGGTCATCTATTTTCCGTTGTTAGACATGGAATTAACACAATTAAAGGGTTGTTATAAATAAAATATTTTAAAATATTTTTATTTAAAAAATAATAATAATAATAATAAATTTTAAAAAAAAGTTGTTCACAGTTCCTCATTTTTAGATCCACTAGCGAGCACGACTGATTGTACATTCGCACTTCCGCACTAAAATGCATAAGGGTAATTGGGTAGCACAAATAGCTTTCTTCAAATTTAAAATGACGTTAGGTCAATCTCAGAGCTGTTCTAATTGAAGTGGAAAGACAACTTGCATGTAGTCCATATTTTACATGCTAAAGATTGTGTCATTGAAATATGTATATCAACTTCTCTTAATCAAATTTAAACCCCCAAATTACTTCGTTTTCTTCGACAATGACTTGAAACGCATTGCATGCATGGGAAGTAAATTTCTAAATCAACACCTTTTAAAAGAAAACAAAAATTATCTATTTGGATAACAAAATGAAATAAAAGTACTCAAACATTGGTGTAGAAACTAAAATCCACATAAGGAAAAAGGAGACATGCATAATATAATAAGGATAATACTTCCCTCCTTATCAGGTAAGTAGAAGTTTTTACATTTCTGCCAATAACAGTGTGATATGTGTACATATAAGTTTTCGTTTTATGTGTTTTTGATGAATTATTTTTACATATATGTCAAATTGTGATTCGCAGAAAAGAGGAGTATCTCCTTGCAGGTAAGGAAGTAGTATCCATATAATAACATGGTTGCCATCCCACAAGCTCGAGAGATTATAGAAAACTATAGTAGTATAGTCACGTGATACATCTTGTACATGTGTTATAATATAAGTGGATATTTATAGATACTATATTCTATATCATTCTATAATTTCACCACAACCTCACCCATTGGTATCTCAATAATAGTGATTTAGCATGATTTAATTATTTAATTAATTGAGGGACGTCCAAAATCTTAGGCATATAACAAGGGGTTTTGATATATTATTAACAAAAGTGTACATTGAAGGATGTCATATTTAAAAGTTTTAAAAGTTACAGGAGGCCCACCACCATGCACTCAAAACGGAGAACATGTGGGAATGTGGGGTTTGGTCTAAATTTTCCATTTTTATTTTCTAATTACGAAAATGTTTATTCTATTTTATGATGGCAAATTATGCTGGCGATGACGGCAATGTAATTTAGGTTTCTTTTTTTTGAGGTGGGAAGGGATCACACATGAATAGCACATGGGTTTGGGATGCAACCAGACAAGCTTCTGTGTATTTTGATCCCAATACAAAATGCTGAGATGTTACTCTCACAGAAACATGCTTTGCTCATGCTTCACTCCAACCAAAATACATGATTCCAGGTTGGCAATTAGGCATTTTTTTCTTAAGTTTCATACACATTGTTGACTCATTCTCTTATAACAAACGCGGAACCACAACTAAAGTTGTGGTAGGCTGTAGCCCAGTTAATTTTGAAGAAAAACTAATAATAAACCACAACAAGTTTGCTGCCTTTTGGTTTTTTTCCTTTGCAAAGTATGATACCTATTGTTTTGGTTTTTCTCAAACTTCGTTGTCTTTTTTTCTTTATCTGCTACCTTTTTTTGTGTGAAATTATCTACTGTCTTTGGCAAAAGAATTTTTAAGGAGGAAAAAAAAACCTATATGGCTCACCATCAATTATAGCACATTAGAGAAATCTATTTTCTCAAGTTTATTTGTATTCTCTTTGAAGAACAGAACAGTTGGTTAACTTAATTATATTGTTCTTATGTCTAATATATATGTGTGAAATATAATTATTTATATTTTTGCACTCTGCATCTTAGACGCTTATTCGGTTGATGCCAAAAAAAATTAACGGGTTCAAACTGCAAAGGTAAGATTTTTATTTTTTTACTTTTTTTAAAGAGCATTATATTTTAAGCTAAAAAATTTAGTTAGTCCACCCACCGAAAAATTCTTGATTCCGCCCTTGTCAGACAACTTAAGTTTTTGGAGTTACGATTGTCTGACATCATCAGAGCATTTCTTACAAAATATCGTAAGTCGATTCCCTTACTCAACGTCTTTGTTGGTTTGCAGGGTTGCATCTGTATATATTTGTATATCTCCCTCTATCTATTAGTCTCTCCGTGCATAATGACTATGCATGTAAGGGAGTGTGTAAGCTCGAGGTTGAGTTACATTAAGCTAGTACAAAAGGATCTCTTAGGAATCTATACGATAAGATTTCAGGAGATGTTATACCATGTAACTGGGGTAATTAACATTGATTATATACAAGATGATTATTATGTACTTATAATTGTACTAATATTCAAAGTGGCATCCTCTCGTTAATTTGATATTTATGTTGTCAAATTGTTAATCTGAATAATTGATCAATATTTAATCTTACAGTGTTGTTAACATATTTCAGAATTGTTTGTTACGTGGATGAACATTTTGTTGGCTTGACTTATGGACTTGCACTTACTTTCCTTACATACCAAGGTTTCCTATATTCAATGTAATTGATTTACTTTAATTCCTAATTTCCTACTGTAAATAGAAATAGGAGTCATTACTTTCCTTGACCTATAAGGGTTTATTGTATTATAAATACAACCTCCTACAATGAGAAGAATACACAGAAAATTCCTACAAACAATATTTGTTTATACGTTTCATATTTTGACATGGTATCAGAGTGGCGATCTTGGAATTGCTAATTAGTTTTTACACACCGCCACCATCATGGGGAATGAAGATCTTTTTTACCATCATAAAGGTAGCACCACCGATTCTGCTTCTCTTTCTCAACTTAACTTCACAAAATTGGCTACTCATATGACCTAGTTCTTGAAGATCCAGAACCAGAATTCGACCCTGAACCTGAACACGAACATGACTGACATGCAGAGCCTGCTCCCAACCCCGACTATTACCTATGAAGCTTCTGCTATCTGGTTGGCATCAAGTTGAATGGCTCCAACTATCCCCTATGGTCCCAAGTTGTCGAGATGTACTCACATGCAAAGACAAGTTGGGATACCTCACCAGCGAACTTCCACCACCTTCTTCGACTGACCTGCACTTTCACCATTAACGCACTGAGAATGTCGTTGTGAAAGGCTAGCTAATACACTATTTGGAGCCTCACTTGATTAGCACATTTATTCACTTTCCCACCGCACATGTCGTCTAGGATGCGATTGTCACGACCTACTTTGATGGCACTGACGCATTTCAGGTGTACGACCTTAAACGACTCACTCACCAGATGCGACAAATGGGTGGCTCGATTGAAACCTACAACAATGATCTCCAAAGTTTATGGCAAGAAATCGATTTTCGTCATTTGAATAGGATGAAATGTGACTCCGATATCAAGGAGCACAACGCCAATCTCCAAGAAGACCGTGTTTGTATATTCTTGATGGCTTGGATGACCGCCTTGATAATGCCCGCAGGGATGTTCTTCAAATGGCTATGTTTCCACTGTCGAGCAGGCCTATACTTTTGTCCGACGCTAAGATCTCCAATAAGCTGTGATGATGGATACTCAAGCTCCAATCGCAGCTAGTTTGGAGGCCAAGGGCACACACCGGTTAACCGGCCACCCCTTGACCAGTTGGCCTGGCTAACCACTTTCCTCTGCATTTGTGCCCCTTCAGATACAATCTTACACCACAGCTATTGGCTCGTCTAGCCGCCAGACTACCCACCCTCCTAGACCCAAAGCTTCAACTGACGGGACGAGATTTATTCACTGTGGAAATCCTAAAGACACTTAGGAGACTTGTTACAAGTTGCACAAATATCCCAATTTGTGGGAATGAGACAAAGCTAGGAAAGCTACGCTTGGATCTGGACTTGCTGCTCTCTTCACCTTCGAATCTCCATTACCGTTGGATCCTCCGCTCGGATCCATCCTCTCATCGACATCTTCTATTCACTCCGGCACTTTGAGCGACTCAGGTAACTGTGGTTCTGTCTTTTATACTTTTGCCCTGAGTAATGTCATTGGATGGATTATTGATTCTAGTGCGACTAACCATATAATATTTGATCCGAATGACTTTCTAAGCACTTTTCATCCATGACACACTAGTAATGCTAATGCAAATGGTGTTACTTACCCTGTGACTGGAGCGGGCACCGTTGCTCTTTCCTCTTCTCTCTTACTTTCCAATACTTTACTTGTTCCGTCATTGTCCAATAAGCTATAATGTATGTTGGCCAAGCTACTGAACAACTAAATTGTTGTGCACTAATTTATCCCACTTTTTGTTTCTTAATGATATTTTCACCAAGGAGATCATTGGACATGGTATAAGAGAGGGGGCTTTACTATATGGATGACTTCAGCATGGGATGAGCCAACAACATGACGCATCCATTTGATGTCAAGCACCGACAGATTTTGTTATGGTGCCATCGTATAGGACATCCGTCTTTTGGTTATATGAGACATTTATATCTCGATTTGTTTTCTATTTTTAAATATTCAAACTTTTATTGTGACACTTTCATCTTGGCCAAAAGTCACAGAGTTTCTTATCCTTTGAGTATGAATAAAAGTGTTGTTCCTTTTGCTTTAATGCATTATGATGTTTGAGGCTCTTCCCCTACCTCGACTACTGCTAGATTTAGATGGTTTGTGACGTTTGTAGATGATTGTACTAATATGACATGGCTTTCCATGAAGAAGACTAAAAGTGAAGTGTTTACTATGTTCAAAGCCATCCACAAACATATTGAAACTCAATTCTCTACCAAAATCCACATCCTCTATTTTGACAATGAAGACGAATATGTCAACCATGATTTTCATATGTACTTTTAGACGCATGACATTCTCTATGAAAAGACTTGTCCTCAAACTCCACAACAGAATGAGGTTATAGAACGGAAAAATCGTCATCTTTTTGAAACAGCACATGCACTCTTGATTGGGGCACATGTTCCTCGCCACCACTAAGATGATGCCATCGTCACGGCTGTTTATTTACTCAACCGTATGCCTTCTCATGTCTTGGACTTTTGTACTTCGATTCAAGTGTTTGCTCAACACGAGCCCTTGCCCTCTGTCTTGATGCTTCGACCACGAGTATTTGGATGTGTGGTGTATTTTCATCTCCATAAAAAGCAGCAAAAGCAAACTTGACCCTTGTGTGCTTCACTGTGTACTTTTGGGTATGGCACTCATCAGAAAGGTTATAGGTGTTATCGTCCTCATTCTCAACACGCGTAGGTTACTCTAGATGTCACTTTTTTGGAGTATGAGACATTCTTTCATGACCCGATGTCCAATTCTCCACTTCAGGGGGAGACACGGAATGAAGTGCAGACTTGGAGCCTACTAGAAGATGGAAAAATCGACGTTAACATAGAAATGAACAGTCGCTTCAAATAGTGAGCTCCTTGAACAAAACGACCAGTCGCTCTGAAGAAACGACTGGTCGTCACAAACAACATAACTCGATAGTTGGGCTCGGACTAAAACGACCGATACCCCTAAATGCAACCGGTCACTTGCATTTGAAAAATCTATTGATTTAACTACTTTTGATTTTACCGAGAAAGAAGACAAAGATGAAGACCCCTTCTCTCATTTTATAGTACCAGACGACCAATCTCCTAAGAATATATTTAGCCCTAAAACTCATGTGAATTTAGTTGATGATTCTATTGGATACCAATTACCTTTCAGGCAGAATCGTGGCAAACCACCAAACTGGTATTCTCGTGATATTCACAAATCATCGAAGTATCCAATTGTCAACCATGTGTCTGCTCAAGGATTGGCTAAACCACTAAAGGCATTTATGCATCAGTTGTCTACTATTGACATTCTTACTAAGATAACTGAAGCACTGAAAGATCTGAAGTGGAATCAAGCAATGAAGGAAGAAAGAAGGCTCTAGAGAAAAATTAGACGTGAACACTCAAGACATTACCCCCAAGAAAAAGAATAACTGGATGCAGATAGGTGTTTACTATCAAACATAATGCTGATGGTTCCATTGAACAAAACAAAGCCAAACTTGTGGCAAAAGAATACACACAGACCTATGGCATCGATTATGCAGAAATATTTGCCCCTGTAACAAAGCTTAACATAGTTAAAGTGCTCTTATCTCTCACAACTAACCTGGATTGGCCAATCCATCAGTTTGATGTATAAAAAATACTTTCTTGTATGGTGAACTCATAGAAGAAGTGTACATGGACATTCCGCCAGGATATACAACATCTACTCAGACAAGTGTGGTGTGCAAGTTGCGAAAAGCACTATACGGTTTGAAACAGTCACCATATGCATGGTTCGGACGATTCACTTTAGCAATGAGGAATTATGGGTTCAAGCAAAGCAATTCAAATCATACTCTATTCTTGAAACATCATAAATGAAAGGTAACAACTTTAATAATTTATGTTGATGATAAGATTATTACTGGGAATGATGAACATGAAATATCTCGGCTGCAAGACCATTTAGCTATTGAATTTGAGATGAAGACTCTCTAGGTGGACTCAAATATTTCTTGGGGATTGAGGTGGCCCGATCAAAGCAAGGCATATTTGTGTCTCAAATGAAATATGTCTTGGACTTGTTAATGGACACAAGAATGATAGATTGCAAACTTGTAAACACTCCCATTTTTCAAAATCACCCTCTTAGAGAATATTTGGATCAAGTTCCAACTAACAATGAAAGATACCAAAAGTTAGTAGGAAGATTGATCTATTTGTCACATACTCGACCAGACATCGCTTATGCAGGGAGCGTAGTTAGTCAATTCATGTATTCTTCAAGTGAAGATCACATTAATGCAATTCTCCAAATACTTCAATATTTAAAGTTTGCATCTAACAAAGGACTTATGTTCTCAAAACATGGTCATATGAATATTGATGGTTACACAGATATAGATTGGACAGGAAGTGTAACAAATAGAATATCTACGTCTGGTTACTTTACATTTGTGAGAGGTAATTTAGTGATGTGGAGGAGCAAGAAACAGAAGGTAGTAGCTCTATCTAGTGTAGAAGCCGAGTTTAGAGGTATGACTAAAGGAATTTGGGAACTCCTTTGGCTACGTTAGTTGCTTACTGAACTTGGGTATCGACCTATGTCTACAATGAATCGCTTTTGTGACAAACAAGGCTGCAATAGCTATTGCACATAATCTAGTTCAAGATGATTGCACCAAACATGTTGAGGTGGATCGACACTATATTAAATAGAAGCTTGAAGCTAAAGTGATTCAATTTTCGTTCATAAAGTCCGTGGATCAATTGGTAGATATTTTAACAAAGGCTATTTCGAATAGAGTGTTCCACAATTCACAGGACCAGTTGGGTATTGGGGACATCTATGCACTAACGTGAGGAGGAGTGTTGGCGTAACTTTTGGACTCGCAGTTACTTCCTTACACACCAAGGTTTCCTATATTCAATGTAAATGATTTATTTTAATTCCCGATTTCCTACTATAAATAGAATTTGGAGTTATTATTTTCCTTGACATACAAGGGTTTATTATATTATAAATACAACCTCCTACGAAGAGAAGAATACACAGAAAATTCCCACAAACAATATTTGCTTATACATTTATTTTGACACATTTGCCAACAAAGTAATTTCGAACCTAAAAAAGGTTAGAATTACAAGTCATGATGCAAGATTGGATGACATCTGCTTCCTTATATATATGGTGACGAAGAAATAACATTACCAGAACATGAGAACTTTAGATTGTCTACAAACAGATAATCTTTGCTGTAGCTTGGATTATTTATACTATAGTATATCTAGCCTGTAATTTAGCCTGAATACAAAAAAGAAGGTAATAATAATAATAAAAATAAAATAAATAAAATCTTTACAGTAAAGATTAATAGGACATGTCATATAAAACCTTTTCTTTTCCAATTTTGTGTGACATTCTCATATTAAATTCTACTGTCGGTGTTATGCAATGATATAGTGTGCATATAAAATAATCCACATAGATTCAAAAAAGAAATGAAAGAAAAAATCAAACAGTTTAATAAGTAAAAAGATTAAGATTTTTAATATATATATATATATATATATATAGAGTGTGCATATAAAATATCACATATTACTTTATAAATATTCTTTTTTGGGACCAAATTGCTATAACCATATATGAAACTCAATCTATGCTGGATTGATATGTCCAAAACTTGCCCTTCCCACAGATTTTGACGTTTTGTTTGCTTTGCTATTTGATTCACAGACAACACTCCCTTGCCAATCTCGTGACCTTTTTAGTCATCATCTAAGCGGTGGTTTATTAAATTTGTCACTTTAATTATAAGCGCGCTTATTAAAATCGTTCGCCGAATAATACAGCAGTGTTTTAAATTCGAATTAACTCTAAACCTCATTTATTTTGATAAAAAAACAAAGAGTGCAATATTAGCATTATTGTAATTATATTAAGTTAAGCAAGATACAAATCACATGACCCAATCTTGAACCCCAACCCACCACCCCTAAATTGTGCAAATTTTGAGTGTACTTATTGCTTGCAACAAAAGCAGCTTA